TTTTACAAATTTGACAAGATAAATGCTAAATTGAGGACTAGATCATTCAATAATGGATACAGATTCAAAATACATATCTTTAAAAAAAAAAACAAAAACAAAAAACAGAGAAAATAATATGATTTTTTTTACTTTACAAAGAAAAATTCTTGTGATTATAATGTGAGAAAAGATTTAGTAAAGATTTGCATGCGAATTATCAGTTAATATAAAGATCTTAAACTTTGACATTAAATGTTTGGTAGTACATAGAATCATACCTAGAATAGCAGATATTATTTCAAGTTAAATGCTGCATTAATTATCTAAGTGAAGGTAAATAAAGAAGGGTCTCAAAGAAACACAAACAACTTTTGTAGGTGACTGTTCAGTAATAGCTAATAAAACTCCTCAAAGGTTGAACAATATACAAAAATTTATCTTAAAAAGCTCTTATAACACTATGAATTATTATCTACTTCAAATAAGGAAGAAAAACCTGTTTTTTCCCCAAAAGAGAAGCTTAGACTTGCTTATTGTGAAGGACCATAACTGTTGATATGCCTTGTTACAAAAAGAATCCAAAGTTATAATGTGAACCTGTCTTGTTGCATGATTTCTGACATGGCAAGGTGCGTACACTGTTATGGCTATACATCTATTGACATTACTTCATCAAATATACAAATTTGAAAAAGAAAAATTAGAAAAGCATTAAATGCTTTGTAATAATGTTTTATAAACTTATGTTATTTTGAGTCAAAGTATGTCTTGATAAAGTAACACTTGATCACAACTTAGAACTAATTTGGAAGTGGATACAAGAACATTAGGCCTTCCTTAACAAAGAAATTTGATTATATCTGGCATTAAAGTTGACATATCTTTTTCTCACTTTTGTAACCAACTGACAATGACTTATTTTAAGTCAGGTTCAAACAAAGTACTGTATACCATCTAATATCATAATACCTCTCAGATGTCAAAAGCTGTTGGCTTAAAACAAAGGTGACCCCCATAATCTTATCTGCTGGCCAGTATCTAGTCACTGTAAACATGACCAAACACTGGCCACAGCTTCAGAAAGGAGGGGGGCTAAAAATTTATCAAAATTTTTATGCAATATTTATATTTCCACTGATAAACTATGCAAACAGTACTGGAGTAATTTACTAAAAATTGATCTTTATGTTTGTCAGACCCCTACCAGTAGATGAATGTATCAACTATTATGACTATGAACAAAGTTACCATATTCTTAAAATGTATATTTGCAGTCATCTTGGATCTATAATTACCCTGAAACATACATGTAGATGTTAAAATCAGTGTAAAATAGGGGTAATTGAATTTTAGAACTTGAAAGTGATAAGTGGAAAAAACAACAACAACAACAAAACCAACAAATAACAATTCCATAACACCAAAATTCCTCACACATGCAGTCATGCAAGTTACTTATTCACTAAAACACAAGTTACCTGTAAGTACAGTGTCCTTTGGAAAATTAGTAAGTGACCAAAAACTGATTTTCATATTATAGTAGGTATATGCTACATCATACTGTCTGCCAGTCCAGTTTAGCTCACACAATCTGCAAGAAAAACTCAACACATCAGATGACAGCAGTACAAAGTTAAAGGAGAACATCTTCATATAATATTGTTGTATTTGTACACTCATACTTATGACGGTACAAGTGGAATTTACAGGATTAAAGAGACAGCACAAGGATTATATCCTAATGTATGGGATCATCCAGGCAGTGACTAAATATTGACCATTTATGTAATCCTGATAAGTCTTAGTCACTAAGTCATCATTATGAATGCTTAAATGTGAAAATATTACATCTGTGTATTACTAGTCCCTCCCCCAAGCCTTATGGTTAACCCATAGCCTACCGATGGCTGAAGAATCTACTCAGAGCAAGATAACTAGCATCTGTGCTATCTGTTTATGGTCTGCACTGTACGCTTTTCAGAATATGCTTTAAAATTTTCACTTAGTCTTGGTATATGGTTTTATCCAGACTGAATGTTTATTCATCCAGACTAAAAAATAAGACAAAAATCTGGAAAAAAGTGATCCTTAGAAGTATTAATTACAACAAAGGTACATGAAAATGTAGACTTGGTTTGATCGAGTCTGTACATGAATGATAATGTAAAAGTGCAACATCCCTCACGCCCCCTAGCACCGGCCTGAGCAGTACTCAATTTTCAACACTTAAGTCTTTTTAAGATATTAAGCATTCAGATTTCAAAAGCAGCCAAGAGGTTGTCAGCGTCCGTAACTATGATACTAAAGTTGTTTCTTTGGTTGGATTTTAAAATACTGTAATGGATATATGGCGGATTTACTGGTGGAGGAAGACTAAATGTGCCTCTCCTTCCATTATTTTAGTAGAAACCTCGATGCCAACTGGATAGCCTCCCTCACATGAAAATTCCAAAGTCCCTGGTAGGATCCGAAACCCACGGTGGTGAGGAGCAAGTGGTTTGCAGTAAACACTTTAACAACACAGCCCTTGATCATCATCAGGTGAGGTTATGTACATGTAGAACATCTATTTTCTATAAACAATCTTTTAATGAATAGCATAAACGAGGAAAAACAATGTGTTCCCTTTCTAATAGAGGTACCATTTTAATATATACACAGCTATATAGCATGATCATTTTAAAAGTTTCAGTGCAGACATCCTTGTATACAGAACAGCTGAAGCTTAGTCTACCAAATTACAAACCTGGCCTTATAGTGAAACATCTGGTGTTAAAACTGAAATACTATTCAAACAAAATTCCAACAACTTCAGGTAATTTATGATCAATAAATTTGATTCACTAATCTCCTGAAATGTGTAAAAGGCATGCACAATGTGGGCTATACTAAATTCACTGCAGATAGGGGTTAATTTCACACAACAATAGAAATACGAGGACTTTCAATAAATATGAATGCATAAAGTTATTTCAATTAAATTCAAATTACAGGCTCTTTACAGGATTAAATTATTGACTTGAAGTTAAAAAATATTGGATTTGACTGCATCTTCTATATTTTCTGTTTGGGAAAAATATCTTTTTGCAAAAAAAAAGGTGCCACGAAATTTGTGAAATTAATTCATTTACCTTTTTATAGGGTTTCCATTGAGGAAATATTTTCTTAATATGTCAGGGTTACATTTCTGTTAAAAAGTCACCAACTTAAAAAGCAACACAAATTTACTCAAGTCAGGGGTCAAAGGGTCATGTCAGCTATAGATCTAAGGATTATAATATGTGTTACCTAGTGGCCATATGAGATTCACATAGTGGCCAGAACTTAAAACCCTAAAGAATATATCATAAAATTCATCAGAACATATTCTTAAGGCATAAGAATTCTTTGTAACAGAGATTAATGAACAGTATCTGATTATTTTGGTAGGTTTGACCAAGATTTCTGTTCCAATGCTACAGAAAGTATACCAGATTGTAGTGTACATATGACCATGAATAACCCTAAATTGATTATTCCCATATGTGGCAATAACTTTGCCAAAATATTATACCTATTTAGTCTATAAATCGCCAGACATTGGCATGGTCTGGGTTATGGGCCTTTTGCAGAGACAGCACCACACTAACTAGCTAAAATTTACCATACTTTCTTTCTGACAGACTTGAACAAATAAATATAACTTTTTATTTACAAAGTGGAATAACACACTAGAAACTATTTTTACAGTAATATAAAATAAAACATTAACTAGTACTGTTATGAAAACACTCCATGCTTGATACAGTTGTTGACAGGTAAAGTGAAATTTCTCATTCCTATCATTATGGTGTATCATATGTAGTAAAGCCTTTAAACCAAAATATATGTAAGAAATACCAGAAAAGAAATATTTTGAAAATAACTTGATTATTTTCAATATAATTTTCCTCGATTTTTTTTTATTTGGGTCTTAGCGCTTACACTGTACTGCATGTTGCAGATAGTCCAATAAATATGACTTCCTCTTAGAGTAACTTCTGTACTTTTCTTGCTGTCGCCTAGTTTGCCCAACATGGTAGCACTACTCTCTTTTAAATATTAAATTGTTACCTCAACGTGTCTAAAAACAACTCTTACCCGCGTTGAAATTCCTAAAAATTATGGTTTGCACACGTTTTGCAGAGGATTCTGATATGCACGTGGATTTCGTGTATTGGCTAACGGATTAAGCCGTGATTGGCTCTACTGTCCACAAAATTTAAAGCCGTGAGTTTCAATGATTCTTTGCTCGAACATTGCATTCATTTTATTGACTTTGATTTTATGTCCGCACGTGTTTTGTCGTCTGGTTATGTAAGGGAGGCTACTACTGTGGATATTCTTAAACTGACGTACAGAGTTGTTTTTCTTACTCTATTTCACGGCGCACATACGGTTTGCGGTGCTTACTTCTATCTCGCTGTTCGCAACGTATTTGCGCTATCAGCACTATACAAGTGCTTAACTATCTATATTTTCTATCTTAAAGTGAAACAAAGATCAAATTCAAAATCGCATCATCCAAATCCTTGTCCAACATTTCTAAAAGGGTAAATATCCGTTTTATCCCAGGATGGGGATTCGAGAAAAAAAAACCAGGAACAATTCACCCTTATTTTTTAGCCGTTTTATATTGAATGCTGAATAAATACATACATAAAACAGAAGTTGACAAGTTTACATGTATGTTAAATTACTCTGGAATAAAAATCTAATTTTAGAATGAAATGTGAATTTTGAGTTTGATTGAAATTCCTGTGAAAACACTGGACATCAATCGAACCATTGACTTTCCATAAGTTTTAATCAGCATCCAGAAGCCTACCATCTACAACTAGACCAGGCTGGACATTTACACCAAATAAAATAGTTCAAAATCTGCACAATAAAATAAACGAGTCAATGAATGAATCACGAAATCACAATTTAGCCGCCCATTTACAATTTATGACAGCGTGACGTCTACTTTTGTTACGTCAACAGTAACTTTACGTCATATGACGTTAGTTTTTAATGTGCCGCGCTAGCAACGAGTTTATTTAACAATTCAGGAAGCAATGTTTCGAAAATATTTCGAAGATCAGGGTATGTCAGACTCCAGAGATAGTTGGTATAAGCCTAATATGCTCTACAATATTCATTACAGTAAGTATTTCTTTATACAGAATTTTTGTAATAAATGATCCGTGACAACAATTATGTTTTTACTTTGAAGTGTTTATTTTTCAAAATGATATGATTACATGATGCGTCAAGTGTGTCTAAGATAAATAGATATTATTTTTAATACAAGTTTTAAAAAAATAGTTTGTCCTTAAAAATATTTACAATTTTTTCTTTCGGATATTTCAATTTATTTCTTTTTTTTTCTTTTTCATCTTTTTTCGCTCACTAATTATAACAAATATAAAGAATAGAAAATGGTAATTAAAAGGAATCTAAAATAATCTCTTACAGAACATGTTTTTTTCGGCACAGCATTATCGCATAACTAATTGTATAAACGGCCGATTACTCTTGGTAAATTTTTAGATGGAAAAAGATCATTCATGTCTTTTATGAGCATAAATCTAAATTTTTCGTTTTGATTTCCAGGACCATCAAAACCAAAAGACCCACCAAAGTTCAAAGTTATTACAAAGCTATTTAACCCCAGTATATGTACATGTGGTGATCACGGGTGTGAGCCTCATTACAGGATGGAAAGGGAGGTTGTTTGGCTGGAAAAAGAGGTCGACAGTAAAACAGGAAGGGATATGCAGGAAGTTGACAAAATGGTCGTCATGGCAGCATCGAGTAACAGCAATATCAATGAAATCACAAAGAAATTGGAGATCTGCGAAGATGATAATAATGAAGAGAAGTCCAACGGGGAAGATAATGATGATGATGAAGATGATGACAACGACGATGACAGTTATGATGGTGGTGACAACAATAATGTTGCTGCCGCTGATGATGACGACAATGATGATGATGATGGTGATGATGACGACGATAATAATGCTGCTGCTGCTTCTGATGATGAATACGATACTGGTGATGTTTCTGAGATTGGTGCGACTGATGACAAAGAAGTTCTTATTAGTTCTGATGAGGAATATGGATCAGCTTTTGGCATTCTGATGGTGTACTGTAACAGCGAGATTCATTCTACATGGTATGTTGTCCAAGTTGATAAAATCATCTTCAGAGTACTAAAGCTATTACATTTTTGTCATTAATCATAATATTATTTGTCATTATTATACTAAATGTTATATTACTGTTTATAAGGTACATGTAGTTGGATTTTTTTCTGATTTATCATAGTACTACAGTATATGTAGAAGAATCAAAACAACGCATTTTTTTATTCTTGTGACTTCGTTGTTACAATAAGTCAATAACATTATGAATGTTTGCTGTCGCAGTTGAATCTGATCTTAATTATAAAGCTTTTTGGCTAGAAATATTATATATCGATATAGCACATGTTAAATTAACGAAATGAAATAAGATAAACTTCATGTAGTGTACGAATGATTCATTTTGCCGCGCAAACTACAAATAATAACATACATGTACATAGTTATGATACAATTCTGATTATAGTTTTCTTTCTTCATCTATTACAGGGATGTCAAAGAATGCAACAGCTACTAGATACACGATGAAACTTTTGAAATGATTTGTTTTTTCATTATTTTTTTCTCCAGTAGTATAATTAATCAGTATGTGAACTTTGATATTGCGTTGTGTTTTCTTTTCCAATTCCGTGTAAAACAAATTTACATTCTTGTACCGGTGTGGCCCAGTTTGTGTGAAAAATCTGAAAAAGAAAGATACTCATAGTCAGGACAATGTAAATAAGTGAAAAATGCAATCTGTTATACAATGTAATGGGAAGCGGAATATCCTAGAAATATTGAAAATTATATAGATCGCCCAACACAGCTGGAAAATCCACAAGCGTTGAGGCTGTTCCCCGTCTGCTGTGGTTACACCTCCCTGTCACCGTTAACAGTAGAAGCAGGAAATCGGTTAAAATCTTAGAACCGTTCATATGCAATACATTACACTTAGAGGCACTTATAACACGACACTCACATTTTTCTGTATAAATAGGTTATTTTTGGACGGATTTTATTCAAATTTAGACTATTCAAAATTCAACATATCACACATACTACTTAGAATTATATTTCGATTCATTGATAAAAAATAGAAAAATTAACAAAACAAATAGGCTGCTGTAAAATGAAAAATGACAGAATGACTGTAAAAATAGTAACAAAATGAACAGTCTGAATCCCACTAAATCTGTATGTTAACCAGATTTGATACTTCGTGTGTCCTCCCATATACTTCGTGTGTCCTAACAAAATAAACACCTCAGCCTTACAGTTCTCTATTCCTAAACAAGGGCTTGCTCGAGTTCCAGCAAATTGTGAGGGCACCTGGTCGCTTTCTCACACGCCTGTCAATTCATTCAACAAGTGTGATGTTAAGATCTGGTGACTTGGGATGCAGGAGTTGCTCAAGGAAGTCCTTATTCAGGAATGGAGAAATATTCCCCAAGCTTAGATGTTGATTCAGCTTGTCTTAAATCAAGTCTTACTCGCATTGCTTCTTGCACGAAATGCACGTGGAAATCGTGACATGTATTGGCTCACAAATTTAAGCGTGTTGGCTCTACTGTCTACACAACGTTAAAGCCGTGAGTTTCAAAGATTCTTTGCACGAATATTACATTCATTTTATGTCGTCGCATGGTTATGTAAGGGAGACTACTGCTGTGGATATTCATAAACTGGCATACAGAGTTGCTTTTCTTGAAACGTTTTGCTTTTCTAGCCCTTCAGTGCTATACAAGTGCTTTTACTCTCTTTAGTGAAACAAATTTCAAATTCAAAATCGCATTCCAAGATTTATTATGAGGGTAAATGTCAGTTTTACACCTAGTTCTGTATTCACAAACAGTTGATAGAGAAAAAAAACAGAAACAATAATTATTCACTATTATTATAATTATTTTGTTTTCTTTGCATTAAGCTGTTTATATTGAATGCTACACAAAACAGAAGTTGACGCTAATAGTTTCACTAGTTTACATGAATGTTTAATTACTCTGGCGTAAAAATAAGGAATAACATTTTCAATCTTTATTGGAGCATCTTTTACAAATCCCATTTCTTTGGGAAAAACATGCAACTTGTTTAAACGGAGTCGTCACCGCAATAATTTCCTGTCAATTTCTACCAAAGTGCAAAATAGATAACAACCTATCATATAGACTATGATATGGATTCAGATTTTGATTGAAATTCCTAGCCTAATATGCTCTACAATATTCATTACAGTAAGTATTTCTTTATACAGAATTTTTGTAATGAAATGATCTGTGAAATAGTTTGGACAGCAATTTATGTTTAACTTTAAAAATATTATATATTTTCTTTCGGGTATTTCAATTTATTTCTTCTTTCCTCCATCTCCTTCTTCTTCTTCTTCTTCTTCTTCTTCTTCTTCTTCTTCTCCTTCTTCTTTTCTTCTCTTTCTTCTTCCTATTCTTTTTATTGTTCACCGTCATCTCCCTTTTCGTCCAACTTAATATGAGATTTATGACACTTCAAGAAAACGAATCAAAAATAACGCTTAAAAGGAATGCTAAATAATCTATTACAGAACATCTCCCAAACACGATATTGTCGCCTAACAATTTATACAAAGAATATTAGATCAGTCTTGGCTTTATGTGAGTATATTTGATTTCAGGCGCACCAAAACCAAAAGACCCACCAAAGTTCAAAGTTATTACAAAGCAATTTAACCCAAGTATATGTACATGTGGTGATCACGAGTGTGAGCCTCATTACAGATTGGAACGAGAGGTTGTTTGGCTGGAAAAAGAGGTCGATTGTAAAACAGAAAGGGAGTTGAAGGAAGTTGACGAGATGGCCGACATGGTAGCATCAAGCAACAGTAGAATAAATGAAATCACACAGAAATTTGAGCTCTGCAAAGATGTTGATAATGAAGAGCTGTCTGACGGGGAAGGGGAAGAAGAAGAAAAATATGATGATGATAATGATGACGATGATGATCACGATGAAGGTGATGACAACGATGCTGCTGCTGATGATGATAATCACGATGTTGCTGAGGGATCTGAGATTGGTGCAACTGATGACAAAGTAGTTATTGTTAGTTCTGATGAGGAATATGGATCAGCTTTTGGCATTCTGATGGTGTACTGTAACAGCGAGATTCATACTACATGGTATGTTGTCCAAGTTGATAAAATCATCTTCAGAGTACTAAAGCTATTACATTTTTTTTTCATTTATCATAATATTATTTGTCATAATTATACAAAATATTACTTTTTTCAAGGTACTTAATTGTATTTTGGATTTTTTTCTGATTTAATCATAGTACAGAACATGTATTTAGTTCTGAATAACGCATTTTTTAATTGTTTTGACTTCGTCAACAATAACAATATCAACGTTTGTTGTAGCTGTTAAATCTTATCTTAATTATAAAGCTTTTTGGCTAGAAATATTATTTATAGCAAATGTTTAATTAACGAAATGAAATAAGAAAAAAATCATGTACGAATGATTCATTTTTATTTTATATTTTGCAGCGCAAACTATATATATGTACATATTAACTATAATACAATTGTGATTATTTTCCCTTTCTTTATCTATTACAGGGGTGTCAAGGAAAGCAACAGCTACTAGATACACGATGAAACTTTTGAAATGATTTGTTCAAATTCTTTTTTCCAATGGTACAATTAATCAGTGCTAGTATCTAAATTTTGATACTGTGTTATGTTTTCTTTTTCAATGCCGTGTAAAGCAAATCAATATTCTTGTACCACTGTGGCACAGTATGTTAAAGATTCATTTTAAAAATCTGAAAAGTAAAGGTACCCGGTATTCAGGACAACAATGATAATAAGTTTATAAAATTTAAAAAGTGGATCACACTTTTCGCTTTTCATACGTCATCTTAACTTTCTAGAAATATTGTCAATCATACAGATCACAGGGTAGCAAGTGTATACTGCCAAAAGTATCTGGTAGACTGCATGGCATGGTTTTTTACTGATATTTTGAGGGACATTACTACTCCGTAAGGACATTTGTTGGAACAGGTCAACGAATAATGGCACCATGATGACAGTGAACTGTGTAACAGGACCAATACAGTTCCTCAATGCAGGGAGGAACATGTAATTGTGTGTTTTAGGATGACCACTTCAGTCATCAGACTTCAGCCACTTCAAAAATGTCCAGTACACTCAGTATGTACACTGTGACGGACAAACCCTAGTTTATATACGCTTTATTATAAATGCAACCTATAATTTACTGACCGGTCCATGTACCCACTGTGGATACGGAAAGACAACCAACCTGGCGATTGTCTGAGAAGCACAATGTGTGTACACAATTTTTACAGTAACCGAACCAAGATGTTAATATAATAAAGAAACATCAAAGGTGCATGATTACTACTAGTACGACAACAACTGTTATTTTGTAAATGGTGCTGGGACAATAGTTGTCTCCTATGTCTGGCGTAAACTGTTTCGTATAACAAAATTGAGTCTTACTGTATGGTTTGGTTCACTGATAATAAAATGCATTTTTTTATATTCAAGTAGTTCTTTTCAATACTGCTCGTAAAGATGCAGCTTTTATAATCTATTGTTCATGCAAATTTTGATAAATGTATTTGTCTTTGTCTTGTCTATACATTTTTTTTTACATTCTTATGTACAAATCCATAATATACAAATGGTTAAATAATTACAATATAAATATAATGTTTGGGTGCTGTGTTGTTTAAGCCTGGCATCACAGTATGTGTGCAAGATCATTTTCATATTTGCTTCTATATTGCCAAATGTATTCCATGGAAATTTCATATCTAAATATGAAATTCCACTGTTATTTTAAGAAAAACAAGATACTTCATGTCCTAGTGTAATTTCAAATGCCCAGTAATCTTAAAGTGTTGAAACCGTAAAGGCGCTTCATTATCCTTGATTTTATTTTATTCTTTTTTCTTTTTTTGTTGTAAAAAATATTATCTTTATATAAACTAAAGAGACCGTGCATATCAAACGCACTATTTAATGAGTTGGGGCATGGCTTTTATTGAATAAGATTTTCAATATAAGTACATGTACACTATATTCAATAAAAACCATGGCTCATTTGACAGATATTGGTGATACAACATCTATTTTCTTTTTTTTCTATGATTATCTGGAAAGGAAATATTTAGTGTTACTCGACATACTAGTACTAGATTTCAATTATTTTTAATACGAAGCATACAATCATGGAGCTAAATATATAAATTGCATGTATATATATATCTGTGATACAATATGTAGCTTGCGAAATGAGAAAGTAATAAGTTAACGCACTGAATTCTGCCAACGCTTCTCGCGAGTGTTATATGCAGAAATAAGTGCGCGTCGGATTATGAGTAAGAAGTAATTCAAGACATTGTCGTGAAAGGTGAGACTGACAAGGAAAATGTACTCTAGTCATTGAAAGAAAACAAGTCAAAGGATAAAATAGTTAAAAACACCGGGAGCGAGACTAAGAAAGAAGAAATTCTACAAGCCCTAAAATGTTTAAATCTCACATACATGTATCTAATATTTATTTTTATCAAAAGATGAATCCTACACAATATAGATTCTACCTTTACTATACTGTATAATATAAAATAGTATACCTGTCTCCTATCACGGATTTATAAATCCGTGCTCCTATGTTTGGTAAGATGTACAAAATCGTATAATCTTTATAATTGCTTTTAATATATATGAATATTTTTATGTTTATTGAAGGCCTTGTTGAAAATTAGATTTTATATTACATATGTATATGCTATCTTTGATGTATTGTTTAAATAAGATACCTTCATTGTTAACACTTAGTGCCGAGTGGCAGCCGTAAAAGGTTGCCCCGTACTTCACTTCAGAGTCGTTATATTTTTTCTGGTCCTTTGGGATCATTGATTCAGCACTTAAATTAAGTGTTGAAAATTGAGTATCGCTCTAGCAGGTGCTAGGGGCGTGATGGATATGTTGCACTTTTTCATTAACCCTCATGTACACACGGATTTATGTTACATACATGTTTTATGTAATATAAATCCGTGATGTACATAATCAAACCGAGTCTACAAGTTTCATATAATTTTGTTGTGATAAATGCTTCTGATGGATCGCCCTTTTTCCAGATTGTTTTATTATCATTACAACTATAATGAAAATCTATAAATGATACGGCCTCAATCTAGACCACAACGATATTCGAAATCCGGGTTTTAGTATTGTCATTAAAACTAAGGGACAAGCTGTTAAACTTAACCCGCAATTTCGTGAAAATAATATCACAATGCACATGCTTTTTACATAAAGTTATTAAATACAAATATAACAACACATTTGTTTACTTGATTTTTACGAATCAAAATAAAACTGATTTACACAACATGAAATTAACTGCTAATAATAACAGCTCCTTCCATAGGCAAAAATAAAAAGCGTTCCATAATAGACGACGCCGCTCACCGGCGTCGCCAATAAGGAACATACAGTAAGGCTAAGAATTATTTGTTTATTGAACCGCCAAACATTAATTGCGATGGTCATTGTGAAATGTATTTTGCCAATAAAATTTTGAGTCTTGTATACTTCACCCTACTACTGTCCGCTAGAACGGGCCCAAGTCGGACATGGTGGCAATGTTGCCATGGAGTTCATCCATAGCGTCACTATGTATAATGCTATGAACATTATTGTAAGGGACTGTGAATATTTATCAAATAATTACTTTTAGGACCTTGTAATGGATATATCAGTTTAAAACAAATAATGTTTTATCACAATATGAACATCAAACTAGCATAATTTATTGACAAATGAGGTAATACTTTTCAGTCAATGCTTAAAACTTACCGGCCAGGATTCCTGAACTTTACCTGTCAGGATTCCTGAACTTGACTCAGCCATTCATATTTGCTGATTTTATTTGTTTAGATAATTTTCTGGTAAAGGAAGGAATTAAGACCATGATAAAGGACATTCTGAGGCTCTAGGACTATATAAGACACTTTAAGGAGGTTTATACTTCAGGAAATGATTCATTTACTTACTTTGTTTATCCTGGCATCAAAATGGCCGACAAGAGTTGTCTACCTTGATTCAAAACTTTAAATGCTTATATTTTCATAAACATATACAAATACTTACCATTTTACATGTAAGAACAATGAATGTAATCTTTATTTACCTAAGACATAAGTTACTTTCCAAATAGTTAGCTGGAATTGCTGTATTTCATAATAATCTTGATGACCAGTATGACCTCTAAGTTTGTCAGGAGGGAAAATTCAAATTCCTGGCACTTGGAATCTTTTTATATCAATAGTTCATTTTTCTAAGCTATAACCATGATTGTTTTTGGTCCAGACATTAAGTGCATCAAGTTAAGCATATTATTCAAGTGTTTACTGCATATTTTGTTATTTGTTAACTTTGTTAGTTTACATTTTCTAAATTATTCCTGTCAATATGGCTGCCATTTTAAGAAATCCCTGTCTTTCCTGTCAGACTGCCAGGCCAAATGGAATGTTATGATTGGTCAATTGTGACAGTCCTGGCCATTTAAGAGTCTATATAAGTAGCCATGACAGGCTGTGTTCAGTTTGCATTTTGGCTTTAAATCCTGACAGTCGCGAAAACTAGTGACAAGAGCATTTTGTGGAACTTCTAACTGTTAAATATAGCAAAAGTAGTGCTTTTCAGGGTTGAATAAAGAAATTGTGGAATTAAACTTGTTATCAATAAAAGTTGTTATTTGAACAGTTTTTGACTTAGCTTACAATATTTTTCTATTATCCATTAGCTTTCCAGTTATTATAATAGTTTTTCGCGAAATAATTCTCCTTTCGTGAATTATGATATGTTTATACTTCCGCTTTTACGGAGTGACTATTTTTTTGCAATTATTCTGAAAAGAACTTAATTTTCTGTGAACTCTATTACGATAAATCATATTGAATTATTTTATGTACTTTGTTCGACTTAGACCTTAATTTGTGTAAAACTGACTTAAGAGGTTCTCGTGTCTCCTTGACAACATATCAACGTCGGCCATATTGGATTTAACAAAATGGAGTTGTTTTGACATTCTTACAAATACATAGTGTTTTTTCCCCAGTTTGAGCGCAATATAATTTGACAATGGCCACGCAAACACAAACATTGCGGAAGGCACCCGTTCAGATGTCAAGAACGCATGATTATCTTTACGGTTAGTTATTAATACAGCACAAATATGAAAATGTGCATTTTTGTTCAAGTTTGTAATAAACTAGAGAAATATTCTTTGAAGTGATAAAACTCATTTAGTTTTCCCTCATGTTCGATGAACATCAAGTCATTTTTTTCAAATATACTGTGTTATTCACCCTCCCCTATATCCGTGAATAATACCTTTTTTCCTGTAAGACGAATTGATCAGTGGAACAAATGGGATGAAGAAAAATTAAACCTGTGTGATAGTAGGCAAAGACTACGAACTAGGAAGTCGGTTAAGAAAATTTCTTTCATTTTTTATTTTACATCTTTCGTTTTAAAAGTATCATTCGGTATTTTGTGCACCGCTTCCATTTTCAATTGAAACACTTCCGTGATTATTGTTACCTCGATCATTGTTAAACCAAAAAGTTGAGATTGGTCTATTATGGGAATTTGGCCATTTATCATAGTGCTACATTGAAAATTGCGACGGCAACAAGAATGATATTGAAATTTTTGTTGATATATAAAGAATTCCATATATGTTTTTTATTGTTTTTTTTATTAGTATGAAATTAGGCAAAGCCTATGAACGGAGAAGTCCTTAAACAATTCCTTTCAGTTTTCGGTTTTAAAGGTGTCATTTGGTATTTTATGCACTGCTTCCATTTTCACTCTGAACATTCAACGATTATTATTAATCCGAAAAATTGAGATTTTTTTCTGTTATCGGAATACACCGCCTATTAGCATTGAATTACTAGAACTGACACTGAAATTTTCATTGATAGGTATAGAATTCTATATATTTTTAATTGTTTTTTATTTGATTTTTTTTTTAAATATACACGTGTAGTCTATAGCCGGGCAAGCCAAAGCCAGGGCCCGTGAAGTGGGCCCGGACTTTGACTTCCCTGTATAATTTATAAAATCAAAAAAATATATAGATTCTACACCTGTCAGTGACAATTTCGGTGTCTTTTCTAGTTGGGTGCTGCTATTTTTAATGCAACTCTATGATATTTGGCATGGTATTCGGATAAGAGAACAATTGCAACTTATTGGCTTAAGAAAAATCTTTCCGATTGAAAACAGAAGCAGTGCATGGAACACGGAATCACGAAGAACGTAAAAAAAAATGCTGTTCTTGCAATGTTATGAAAGTAGGCAAAACCCACAGAATGGAGATTTAGGTTTCACAACCTGGAAATCAATGGATTGAATAGGAAAATTTTGAGTTTTAAACCCATTTCAATGAGAAACATAGAATATAATGTTTCACACAATAAACACTTGATCAAGTCTGAATCATTTAGATATTTGCATGTGTAGAGATATACTAAGATGGCATAGTTCCTGTCTAACATTTCAGACAATTTTAACATCAACATAAAATTATACACATTAGATTTCTACATTTATATATGTCTATTAAATGCCTATTTCTAAAAAAAATTCTATGAACATAAAGAATGCCTGCTTTGCTTGTAACGTAAGAAAGTACAATAATTAACATGTAAGAGTATATGGTGTGACTTAGTGTCTACTATTTTTTCAAAATAGCACCCATGAATGGCAAATGTCACAGCAAATATTTTTGACTGTATTATGAAAGATTGCCAGAATTGGCTTTTTAATGCCCATGTGCAATTAGAAGGAAACTATGTCCAGGTTTTAATTTGATTGTAAGCAATAAGTTAGGGTACTTGTGAATATTGTGGCTGTGGGTAGAGGTACAACAATTTTACTTGTCCCATCTCTTATTCTGTATTTAATTACATCATCACAACTAATTTTTATCTCAATATATTTTTAGATAATCTTCATGTTCTTGCCAGTGAACGAGACCATGCCAGAGCCACATTTAAAGCCCATACAAGTACAGACAGGGTTGTAAGTATAAAAAAATTATGCAATTTGACCTTGAAAGTAAAAAATAAAGTGAAAGTTTTATTGCTTGTTGCTTTTAAGCAAATTGAAGACTATATAAATGGGCTGAAGATCTGCCTTAAAGGGCTAAAGAGTTCTAATGCGGTAGGAACAATATAAATCTGTAAGGATTAAAATTTTTAGTGTTGATAAATTTATAAAGCTATGCATATATTTCAAGCTATATTGAACATTAGGAGCAAATGATTGTGAACTTTCATTATTTTGCTTGCAGAAAAGGGTACCGGTCTACAAAACTATGTTCAGTGAACTGCGACATCATCCACGATTTCAAATGCGTCTTGATGTAACTGATCCAGTCCCAAAGTTTATTTCACGTCAATGGAGAGGATATGCTGATCAGCACAGAGAACAGGTTCTTCGTTACACAACTTTCAATTATGATCCCAGTGTACAAGTTCCATCTAAGGAATATTCCACTGCAAATGTTCGTGGAAATGACAGATATAAGTTTTTCAGGAGGCCCATCATTCCATTCCTTCAACAAGTGCCTCCAGAAGTTTTATTGGCTACCACAAGACATGATCCTTTAGCTGGGCCCGAGATGGGTATGGAAAGGCCTCCAACCCCTTTGACACGAACGGTGGAAATCCAGACAGACTACAGGGATTCAGAGGCTCAGACTGACCCTTACACTCCAGAATATGTTGTTAGACCAGGATCTGCCCCAGAACTTCTTACTCTGGCTACACTTTCATATGGTAATTTTTTTTTATTCTCATCATGTAGGGATTGAGCATCTTTTAACCCATTACTTCATATACACGCCTTTTAACGCCTTTTTCACCCCCCCCCCCTTTTTGTTGTCTCAAATGATGAAAAAATGCCTTATTTAGGCCCCAAACACTTGTTTTTGTTTGAGAAATGTTGTTAAAAAAGTGACCCTTTTTTCGGCACGGCCCCCCAACCAAAAGATACATCAGGGGGTTGCCAGAAGGGGGATGTGCCCCCTTCTGTTTGGGGGGGGGGGTTTGAAGGGGGGCGGAGTCCCCCTCATCGCCAAGAAAATTTTGGACTTGTGAGAGGCTGTAAATGACCCCAGATTGATCATAAGGTAACGTGTAACCAACGCTGAAAAGCATTTGACTCTATCTCAATCCATTAAGAAGTTGCAGCACTTTGAAATCAATTTTGATGGAAAAAATCAACGCAAAATAGTGATTTTTGGCAATTTTGAGATGTCCCCTCGTTGCCATGGTAACAGAAAATTTAAGCCTGAGCATGTTGTTGCAAGGACAATGGTCCAGTCAACATTTGTGCCAAGTTTGATTAGTGTTGAAGCAGTTTTTATAGTATTATAGCAATTTGAACTTGTAACGGGAGACTTTTCAATGAAAACAGCCATTTTTCACAAAATGCTCATGAAGCAATGGGTTAAACATCAAACATTATGTTGCTTGAAATGTTTCAATTTTTTACATTTTGTCCAGAATATTTTGTATTAGTTCACTTATTTTCATCAGTAGGATATAATTTTGTACAATTTTTACAAATATCTATTATTTTGAAATTAAATCTGTCCAAACCCAGTGAGGAGCAGCTTAAGCTGTTTTTTCCTTGAGCAATATACATGTACTTTACACTCATCGCTCTGTACTAGTTGGTTCCAGAAATAGATTTTAGTGTTTTTATAAGCTTATAGATTCCTTCAAAATAAAACTAAAAGGAATTCTATATAAACTAATTAAATCCATAATATGAGTCACCAAATGAAAAAAAAATTCATGTAAAATCTAAAACTTCTCATGTACGTCAGGTCGAGGTTTGCCAGCTGGTTTGGCTGAGGTTGAGATGATTGAACGTGCACGAGCCAAACGTGCGTGGGAGGCAACATTACCACCATTAAACGATGTATCACAGCTTGAGAAGCGTAAGAAAATGATGGATGAAATGGAGAGGAAAGAATGGGCGCTAAGAGAATCCGAAATAGAAAAGTAATTTAGTTTGAGTATTCCCATGATTTCCTATTAAAAAATAATTGACAATCATAAAATCAAATGTCATGTTGTTCAAATTATTAGTTGTGCTTAAGAGGTTTTTTGAAATATGAATTCATAGAAGCTTTAATTTTACTTTTTTTTCAATATATACATATTCAAGTTATTTTTTTTATGATTTCATAAAGAATCATTTTGAGGGTTTGCTCTTTTTTTATTATGATCAATGCTTGCTAAAAACACAAACCTCAGAGTTTAAGTCATTGTTTATGCATAATGATGTATAATGATTTTTTGATATTCTCTGATCCTATGTTGATATACCTGTAATTTAATTTCTTATACTTTTACCAGATTACAAGAGGCAAGATTGGAAGTTCTAAAACAACTTTTAAAACAAAGAGAGGAAAATCATCAAGAATTAAACATCAAAAGATTGGACAAATTATGGTAAGATATGTCTTAATTCATGAAATACATAAAAGTATTGCATTTAAGATAAACTAGGATGAAATTTAAAAAATGATATATTTTGTCAAATGTTGAAACCAGTAGTTTATCTATGTTTCTGTAATATAAAATCTATATAATTAAAAAAATGAATGAAGAATATAAGAAACTGACATAAATTGGTATGGACCTTTCATAGATAGTTTTTATAGGAATAACTTTGGCATAATATTGAAAATAAAAAAATTGACCAAAAATGCTTTTCTGTAAACTGCTGTAAACTGTAAATAAAAAAGAAGAAAAAAAGGTGGTTTTCAATAAAACTTTTGATTATAGGTAGTGGAGGTGTGATCTTAAATTCCCACAGTCAGGGATTCAAAATATGATTGTAAAAAATTATGTAGGATTGTTTATTTAAAAAAGAATAAGTATCTTTAAACAGTACTTGTTCTTTGCTTAAAGTTTTTAACTAGAATATTCAGATGTTAAATTGTATTTTTTTTTTTTCATTCAGGTCAAAGAAACAGAGAGAAAAGGAGGGGAAGATAAAGAAGATCCGAAATGAACATATCAAAAGTAAGCTTTACCCCTTTTTAGCTCGACTTTTCTATGAAAAGGGGAGCTATCCTACTCGCCCCGGCGTCGGCGTTAGCGTTAGCGTCGGCGTTGGCGTCACACCTTGGTTAAGTTTTTCGTACCACCCCACTTTATTTCAGAAGTATTACAAGTATGGCTTTGAAACTTACCATACTTGTTCACCATCATAACCTCCATCTACAGACAAGAGTACATAACTCTGTCAAGGTTTTTGACAGAATTATGGCCCTTTTTTGACTTAGAAAGTGTATTGAGCTTGGTTAAGTTTTTTGTACCACCTCACTTTATTTCAAAACCATTGGAGGTATTGCTTTGAAACTGACCATACTTGTTTACCATCACGACCTTCATCAACAGACAAGAGGACATAACTCTGTCAAGGTTTTTGACAGAATTATGCCCCTTTTTGACTTAGAAAATACATTGAATATGGGTAAAATCCACTTATTGCCTTAACCCTTTGAGATATTGCTTTGAAACTTTTAATGCTATTTCACATCATTACCCCATCTGTACGCAAGAGAAGGTAACTCTGTCAAGGATTTGTTTTAAAAATTAAGGCCTTTTATCGACTTAGAATCTTGGTTAAGTTTTTAGTACCAGTCCACTTTTTGACTGAACTGTTTGAGATATTAATTTGAAAGTTGGAATACTTGTTTACCATCATGGTCCCAAAACATGGGCAGGAGAAGGTAATTCTGTTAAGGATTTTATTTGAATTATGGCCCTTTTTGACTTAGAAACTCAGTTAAGATTTTCATTCTTGTCCACTTGTTGACTTAACCATTTGAGATATTACTTTGGAAGTTGGAGTTCTTATGTGCCATCATGAGACCTATCTGTAAGCAAGAGAAGATAACTCTGTGAAAATGTTTCTTGATTTGTACTTAGAAATTCCTAGTTAAAGTCTTGTGTGCCCTAAACTGTCAAAGTTTTGTTTTATAGGCAAGCACTAAAAAAGTCGAGCGCGCTGTCCTTCTGACAGCTCTTGTTAGAATAGCTGTTAAAGGTTGGGAAAAAATTAAGTTAATTTGACAAAGAAATTTGCACATTTATTTTTACCCTTTTACTTTTTATATATTTAGAACAATTCTTTGTTCTCAATATAGAAGTATTAAAAAGATTTTGAGTTAAAAACTGTTTTAAATTATAATTCAATGACTGCATTAATTTTCAGCAATAAGAAAGCTCACTGAAAAGAGGAGAAAAGTTGAAGGAAAACTTGAACGTAGAGATGTCATCACCGACTTCTCTAATTTTGGCTCACAATCGTACGCCCCTCTCACCCGTGTTGGCATCTTCATTGACCGAGGCTCGGAGCAGTTTGTTGTAAAGAGCCGTCACTTAAACACCTACCAGGGCCTGATGGAACTGGAGGCTTCCTTACCAGATTTTGTCACACAGCCAAGAATTAAGGCTCCTAGACCTAAGACTGTCACCAAGACAGGTTTTGTGAAACGTAAATACAGACAAGAAGTTGAATTGATGGACATGCATAACGTTAGTATTTTAAGTAACTTTTAATGATCTTAAAATTGATCAGTATACTTTAACATGTACTCCTTTTGAAGTTTAAAGATTTTTCATTAGCATCATGCTATTCTTCATTTCTTTGAATTAAGTAAGAGACTCTTCTCTTTTTATATAGCATGATATTAAATTCATTCAGTATTGTCTACATAAATATATTTTAAATTTCTGTGTTTTTTGCTAAAAAAGATAGATAAAAATTTGATATGGTGTTAGCAATATTATAATTAGTTTATCGAAATACCAACTTCCTATAAATGATTAGCTTTGTTCAAAATATAAGAGCATGAATATTGAATCATGAAAATAATGATATGACATGATCTCTACAGACATTGAAGGAGGAGAAGTTGAAGGGACAAGAGGAGCCTAAGCCATTGAGATTCCTCCAGAAGATTGAGAAACCTATACCGCGACCACCAACACCGACTGTTGAAGTACCCTCTGAAGAGGAAGAAGAGAGAGAACTGGGCGTGATCTTCTTACAACAGGTGATACGTGGTCGAGCCATCCAAAATATGGTAGGTAGCATATTATAATACTGACAAATACATATATAATAAATATTCCTATGTTTTGAATACATTGAAAGAAACAAGAAACTAGATTTGATTTTAAAAGCTAATCTTACAGCATATTGTGATAATGAACCTCAATTATCGGCGCAGGAGAGTAATAAAGCCATTTGATAAAAACGATATTACACTAGTGTTATAAACACTTTCAGGTAACATTATTTGCATTTTGTACAAATTAGCTTAAAAGCACTGTAATGTTAGGGTTACACTATTGGTGCGTCATTGCAAAAAAATGACAATTTTAACTGTAAACCATTCTTATTTTGTCTATGTGATATCTCTCATAAAAATATGATTTTATTCAACTTGTTGAAAAAATTTAGTATCAAGATACATGTATCCTCTATTCATAAGGCAGTATTGCAGAAAATTCAATGTCATTTGCTCAGTGCAAATGGTCATGCCATTGTCAAACAATAATGTTTGAAAAAGAAAATCTGTAAATACCATGAATGATTAAAACTTTGATATATGTCTGCAATAATTGATGTCTTTATTTCAGATGTATGAAGGAAAGGAGAAGCGTATGGAGTTGATACGAGAGTTGAGAAGCACACATGCGTTACAGGAAGCCGAGCAGACAATGAAGAAACAAGAGAAACAGGCGACACTTGCTCTACAGAGACAGAGAAGACTTCATGAACATCAGGTAATATTGTTAGTTATATAGATTTTTTACAGGTTATATGGCCCTATATAAATGGTTGTTTGTAAATATTGTGAACAACTGTTTATATTTATAATGAATTTATAATACAGCAAACTTCTATTTATGAAAAGAAAAGTGTGATTTCATCATTGATTGACAGCAGCTGTGTATATAAAACTATATAAATGTCACCGTTATCCGATGCAAAGTGACGTTACAAACGTGCAGTATTATAAAATCCTGTTTATACTAGCTGCTATGATTACAGACCTATGCTTCCAATATAGAGCCAGTGGTGAGATCAAATTGCAGGTTTATGCATTATGACCATACTTATTATCTATTTATTATTATTCTAAATCTTATCTTTTTATATTTTTTTTCTGCTGGATGGTTCCTTTTAGCATTTTGATATTGAAAATGGTTTATTTAGCTTTCAAAAGGCAGTTTAAAATGCAGAGAAGAAAAAGTCTAACAAATTTAGCAGGGAGAAAAGTGACAATGATTCCTTAAACAGAATACAAGTTATTTTACATATATTGTTATTTGAATTTTATGCCATACCTTGTTATTGTTGGATACAAGCTTTTCACTGTCTTCAAGCAAGTAAGATAAGAGATTTTAAAGAAGACTTACAAAGAATGTGTAATATTGTTGTTGTTTTCATTGCATTGGACAACCACTTTCCAATTTTTGTTTATAAAATAGCAAATTGGCTATGGTCACATTCTTCTTGCCATTGTATGCTGATGTAAATTTCACAATATTTACAATAAGTATAATTATATATTCTGTTTTTGATGTTATTTATAATTTATTTTAATAATTTTTAAGGAATCTATGGTTGATGAAGCATTGGCGAAGGTTGAAGGTGAAAGCCTCGGTGACATGTTTGATTTCCTCAGCAAGGAGCTCATCAGACTTCAGGAGGAGCGCAGGATTCACGCCTTCTCTATGCTGGCTGAGAGACAGAGGAGAATCCGTGAGGCCGAGGAAAGTGGACGTAGACAGGTGGAAGAGAGGAGGCGTAGAGAAGAAGATGAAATATTTAAACAGGTACTATATGTATACAATCAATCAGTACAATTTTGGTACTGAATTGTCAGTTTACTTGCATATACTCAATTTTAGCTTTTCGAAGTAATGTTTTATTTGTGACCATTATACATTAACTTTGAACAATTTTTTTACATGACAGTTTGTTTAATGTGTTAAATTTACGGTATATGAAACGAAACATACATTTTGCTACTTTTCGTCTTACTAAGGCCATGTCTTTGCTTTTATCAAAGTGACATCAGGGGAAATAATTATATAAGTATTGATGTTAAGGTTCTTCTTGTTTTATTCATGGTTTATATGTATTTATAATTATTAGTTTTTCTGTTAACAGGTTGTCAATGTACATCAGAGTACTGTCGACAGCTATCTTGAGAATATTGTACTTGACTCAATAGACAACACTGCAGATGCCCAGGCTAGGTTCGAGGTCTCAGAACTGGCTACAAAGATCAATGATATTGCCTATGATATGGAAGACAAGTAAGTCTATATTTGTTTTATTCCTAGGTTTTTCTAAACTCACATGTCTGTGTGAAAGTACATGTGTTATGGTATTAAAATTGAAGTCAATTATTATAAGCTGTCAGAACTTATAAGTTGGTTTGCAAGTAATGCTACTAGAATCAAAGTGAATATGCCAAAAACATAACTTTTGATTGAACTAAGATTTGACACATATTCTTCTACAGTTAGTTAACAATATAAAATTTAAGAAAATAATGATTTAATGATGTCACATTGAAACAAAGTTTTACAGTGACTACAAACTAGGCTTCATCCTTAGTGTTAAATTTTAAGCAGGTTTCCCAACTCAGATTGAGTTATTTTAGGCAAATATTCTTTTCCAGCCTTGTTAGCTCGACTATTCGAAGAATATGAGAGCTATTGTAGTCGCCCCGGCGTCGGCGTCCGCGTCAGCGTCCGCGTCGGCGTCTGCGTTGGTTAAAGTTTTTTGTAAAATCAAATATCTCAATTATTACTTGAGATATTCAATTGAAACTTACAATACTTATTTATAGTAACAAGGTACAACAGATTGACAAGTTAGATAACTCTGCCTACAATATTGACAGAATGATGCCCCTTTTTAACTTAGAAATTTTGGTTCAAGTTTTTTGTAAAGTCAAATATCTCAATTATTGCTTGAGATATTCAATTGAAACTTACAATACTTATTTATTGTAACAAGGTACATCAGATTGACAAGTTGGATAACTCTGCCTACAATATTGACAGAATTATGCCTCTTTGGAACATAGAAATTTTGGTTAAAGTTTTTATGTAAAGTCAAATATCTCAATTATTGCTTTAGATATTCAATTGAAATTTAAAATACTTTTTTATAGTAACAATGTACATCAGTTTGCAAAATTGCATAACTCTGTGTGCAATATTTGCAGAATTATTTGCCCCTTTGAAAATTAGAAATTTTGGTTAAAGGTTAAAGGTCTTCAAAGATATTTACTTGAAACTTTACACATGCACTTAGGGTCATAATTGGAGGGTCATAATTGTATGTCACTGACCAAGTTCCATAACTCTATCTTGCATTAAGGCTGATTCATATCCCCTATTCTACTTAGTCTCTTGGTTAATGTTTACATGCAAGTTTTACATATCTCAATAACTATTAAAGATATTTATTTAAAACTTCACATATGCATTTAGGGTCATAATTGTAGGTCACTGACAAAGATCCATAATTCTATCTGGCATTTAGGCTGATTTTTCTCCCCTTTTTCAACTTAGAAATTCATGGTAAAGTTTTGCTTGTAAGCTGTTATCTCCATAACTACTGAAGGGTTTGTGCCTTTTTTGGGACAATTTATGCATTCATAATAATAAAGCAGTGATTTACTTGATAAAACATCTTAATAACAAGCCTTTGTACCTTTTCTGTCAAATATATGTATTCATAGGTAATTAGTATTATTATACTCAATAAAACAGCCTTGTCTCATTACTCTTAGAATAGTCAAGCCAATACTGTATAATTAGACTCTCTCTAAGGCCTACAACATGAATTTATAAAAAAAATTAGCCCTTTTGTGAACTTAAAAAATTTAACATTATCAAGGCTCTTTAACTATCAAGCACTTAGAATAGTCGAGCGTGCTGTCCTACCGACAGCTCTTGTCTTATATTTCCTTTCAGAAAGTATGAATCTAACTATAGTTTTGGAGCCAATTATATAATAACTTTGTTTAACCTTGACTTTCCATTTACTGTTGCAGGCGTACCCAACTCGAGTCAGAGGAGATTGTTGCTGATCTTGTACACTGTTTCCTGATACCAGAAGTTAAAAAATCTACAGTAAGAGAAAAAAGTATGTACCCCACTGCTTCTTTATTTTGTACAATTTATATACATCTATACTGACTGATAATTGTTGTTGATATTTAGCTAAACTATTGACAACCAAAGTACGATTATGGTTTTACTTTTAGGTATACTTCTGTCTTGAATTTTACAAGAGGTATATGACTTAATCATAGATAAAATGTGGAATTCCTACAGAAGTTGAACACTCAAAAAGACAAAACAGAAAATGTTGCAGGCTGGGTTTGATTTAGCCTGTAAGGACTGTATTTATACTAAAGTGACAGCTATTATCTATGACGACTAGCACTGGCTAAAGTAGTGTTCACCATTTGGACTTTAAAACATCTACAAATGTGTTATATTGTGCTGTTTACAGAACAGTTTCAATGTTACAGTCATGCCCATCCATGAAATGCAGTGTTTAGTCCCTAAACTTAATGAAACAAAATATCAATGTTAATAGCTATTAGCTGTCTTCAATACTTACAGGTGCTGTGAGTTTTGATGAAGGGTTCAATCGTTTCATGACATTTACTTATGCATTTTTATAACATAATCTTGAGCATGTTTTAATGCAAAACTTATTTTATTTTCAGTAAAACGTGACCAGAGGAAATTCTTGCTAGCTGCTCACAAGGAAATTCATAAAGACAGTGAGGAAGTGATAGCCATGCACCCACGAGCCCCAAAAACTGCCCCAACCTCAAGTACAACAGGCACCCCTGATTCTCCTAAGCAGTGATAATAATATATATTTAATAAAAGACAATTTAATCCCGAATTGTATAATAGACAAACCTTTTTTTCCTTGAAATAAAAATAGTAAAACATCTTTTTAATATTGTATTTCTTTTTCGAAAAGTATTATGTGTTAAGCATTGTGTTATTTAAAAATCATTAATCACAACTTTGCTTGCAAAAGATTTAAAAAAATCCAACAATATTGGACTATTGTAATTGAACAATTCATTTAGTATGTAACAAACTAATAAAAAGGTCTTGATGTTGGTATGCAAAGACTAGGCTTTAGTCTTTTGTTCCATTACATCATTGTATGTAATGTAAACTTTATGTTTCAGTATATACACATGGGTAGTTCTTAAAGATGTACACACAAAAAATGAAATAAAATTGTAAATGTTATGTTGAGATAAAGAGGCGTGTATTTGAGTGAATGTATGACATTTCGGAGGATTTAATGCAACACGTAGTAACTTGGAATTTTTAGCTGCTTGTCTGCAAATCCATGCAGGCTGATCGAACTTTATTTTGTTGGTTGTTTAATGCTAGCTTTCTATACTGAAGTACTCTACACTAACATTAGACTATCTCAAAATCAATATGTCATATGTAAAAATGTATTGGTTTAAGGGTTCTAGGAATAAGTTTATTGAAAAATAATGATGCTGTGTTAAATCCTCAAAATATACAAGAAAATATATGTTTATAAAAATGTGTTTCTTTTGTTTGTTATTTTATATGCATGTGAAATTGTCTTGAAATTATCTGTGATACTGTGTTATATATAATGTTTAGTTGATATTTATTATTTCTTTAATAAAGTTTACATATCTCTCTGTATGTACAATGTATATAAAAAGGTATTTTTGCAATTTTCCTTTTTTAAAGATAATTTTTGAAGTTTTCAATCAAATATGAACAGTTAGACTGAAAGACGTGTACATGTACAGTAATTATTAATTAGGGAAATGAAAAAGATAAATGAAAGAAATTACTCTTTTAGAATGCAGAAACCTTCTAACTACTGTACTCTTTTTC